TTGCATCAATGACTGTACTCGTGGTGCTTTTAGAAGATTCTTCATCGATTTCTAAGTCTAAATCAGTCTCACATTTCTTTAGATAGTTGTATAAAACATCGGGATGGTTCCAAATCTTGCAACAGACTGCAAATGCTTTCAATGGATTTGGAAATGCCTTTTTCCGAACCACATCGGTCATAAAGGTATCATAAAGCTTCCGTTGAAACGGTGTCATTCGCACCAGAATAACATATTCCAGTTTTTGCGGCAGAGTGCATTGCAGCACAGTGTGTGAACGTCGCTGAACAAATCCCAGTAGCAGAGAGTGCAGAACGTGAGCTCTGTATCGCATTAGCTTGATATCATCCGGTGTTGAGTCCACACACTGACCATTTTGTATAGGTCTCTCGAACATGTTGCAGAACTCGGTTCGGGTGCCCAAATAGTTCGGGCGAACAAAGTCCACCATGCACCAATATTCCAATAAATTGTTCTGCAAGGGATAACCGGTGAGGACGATGCGTCGACGCGTTCGTATTTGCTTTAAGGCGAGCGAGATACCGGCATGAGAGTTCTTAATTCGATGCCCTTCGTCACAGATGACCAGATCTGGTCCCGGTTTTACCAATGCTTCAAATGCCATATTCATAAGATCTTTACTCGAATCGTGTATGTCGTTCATCTGCGAGTTTTTGCCTTTTTTCTTACGTGTACTAACCAGCTTCAGTGCCAGCAATCGGAATAGTTCATATCCAATCAAGAGCACGCCACCCCTGTGCACCCAATTCAAGATGACTTTGGCTCGAGCCGTCAGATTCTTCTGTTGATCGTTCAGAACGAAGATATCAAAGTTTCGGGGACGAACATTCAAATCGTTAGACTGACGCGGAATCCACATATTGAACTCACTTAACCAATTTTGTAGTGTATTAATTGGCATAACGCATAAAACCGTCTTGGCGGACGTGTGCCTTAAAAATATATCACAGAAGGAAACTACTTGTAGAGTTTTACCAAGTCCCATGGAATGCGCCAGTATACATCCGAATCCGCTAGACTTCTTGAATCTACGTATAGACTCAATTATATTGTCATATAAAAATCGTACGCCGCCAATCTGATGGGGTTTGATTACTTTCGCTATCTGAGGAGCCAAGTACAGTGTCTCTTCTCCTTCAGGATGTGCAATATTTACAACAACACGACCGTATTCGTCCGGAATATTATACAGATCTTTGACGTGCATCCCACTGTTTGTGGCATCGTCACTTTCATTATAGTCTTCCTCGTCCTCTGACAGTAATATACAATCATCATCTGAACTATCGTCAATTGTAACGACCTCATTCGAGGGTTCGGGCTCGGTGCTGGTGTCCTTGTCTAAGACATCCTCAATACTGCAACTTAAACTACTATTTGTATCATCACATGTGACTGATGCCAACTCATCTTCGGGCAGAATACTATCATTATTAACAAAGAAGTTTGGTTCGGAGCTCTCGCATTTCACTTCATTCGATTCTTCCAAATTCAGAATGCGAAAGATGTTTTTGTGTACCACTTGTTTCCTTATCTCACGCATCGATTTCTGCTGATCGGCAACGCGAGCCAGACGCTCTGACTCCTCCCTCTGTGCCGCCAATGTTGTTGTATCCAAGTTGTTTTCATTCATCACATCTCTGATGTTTCTTCTGAGATTATTCTTCTTCTCTTCGGCAGCCGTCAACGTGCCCTTCTTATTCGCTGTGCTGTCATCTTTCGTTACCGAATTCTTTCGTTTCTGTCCATGGGCATGAGGTTGGACCTGGCCTTGGGACTGCGCATGACCCTCGGCCGGAATCTGCGCTTGTGCCTGTGCCTGAGCCTGAGCTTGTGCATGAGCATGTGCCTGGGCCTGGGCATGAGCCTGGACATGCGCTTGGAGCTGGGCATGGGCATGGGCCTGGACTTGCGCCTGAAGCTGGGCCTGGGCCTGAACCTGCGCATGGGCGTGTGCCTGGAGTTGCGCCTGGGCCTGAACCTGTGCCTGGAGCTGAGCCTGAGCCTGAGCCTGTGCTTGAGCCTGGGCCTGGGCTTGGAGGTGGGCGTGGGCTTGGGCTTGGGCCTGAAGGTGCGCATGAGCCTGAGCTTGAGCTTGAGCCTGAGCCTGAGCCTGAGCCTGAGCATGTTCCTGCGCTTGGGCCTGAGAATGCGCTTGGGCGAGTACGTGTGCGTGTGCGTGGGGTGGCGAGGCAATTGAATTTTCTGGCAAAGCTTTTGTTGTTGATCCAGCCATACAATCGGTGTTAATGTTAGTATTGAATACTGTTTGCATTATCTTACATTCACTAATTCTATCGTTTGCATCTATTGATATAGTAGGAGCTTGGTTTTGAGTAACATCTGAATTATTCCCTAACATCATTGGTGATTCATAATTCATAACATTTGAACTCAGTTCCGACGATTTCATTAATCTTTCATGCGCTAAATAAGCTGGATTCGGAACCAGTGACTGGTGATTATCTTCCTCCATATTTATTTTGATTTCTTTGATCTGGATAAAGAAAATAAATTAAATCAGTTTCATTGTAAAATATGTTTAGTTCTTAAATATTATTATTAAATATTATTAAAACATAATCAACATATTTTTACATTATTCTGAGAATAGCTTCAGTTAATAAAACTACTGATCCAGCCCTCCAAACTCTATTTATAAATTTTGCAAAAATGTTAATTTGTCATCGAGCTATTATCGTGTTTGAACTGGAATTATTATCTATAAAGATAAGAAATTCACGTGTTTTGTATTTATTGCCCTCTGCGCTCTGTTGCTTGTTAATGCCTAAAACTCAAGGTATGATGAAGATTTCCAATCAAAGTGATCTAAAATTTGTGGATAGCCCTAAGTAATAAATATATTTATGTAACGGATTAGGATCAGAATCGTATATTAGTCATATTATACTGCTGACTAGTTATATCCTCGAGTTCTTATCTTACCTAATTTAGTCCTATCTTATCATTTCAGGTATAGTTTCCAAAAACACCCCAGTACACTCATTTATATCTAATATGATCTGAATTGGGAAAAGATTATATGAAATATCTTTAGCAAAACCGCTGCATTACATATGTATTAGTTATATGAAATAACTTAGATACGTAAAAGGTGTTCAATAAAATTTCAAATTAAATTAAATATTTGATTTGTATTCTCCGTTATTAAGACTTATCAGTTATAGTTGCAGATTACTTCTCAAACTTTCTACTTCTCGAAAATTCAGGCTCCCAGAAGAGCCATTAGAATATGTGTAAGTCTATCATGATTTGAGGATATCAAAAAACACTTAACTGAAGAGAAATTAAATAAACATTTATATTTGTATTTTCTGTCTTGTCACAATTTACTTAATTGCCATTGTTAATTAAAAGTATTTTCCTCGTTTACAAATACTGTATAAAAACATTGCAGTTAAATGGACAATGGCCAGCAATGGAAATTGATGTTTTTCAAATTTGAGTGGGCGGCAGTGGGCGTGGTTAAAATTTTACCACAATCTAACGTGGATACACAAAAGATATTATATATTTGATCTGTTGGGAATTTACTTGATGAATTTTTTTCTTAATTTAAAGCGACTTGTGTTGCATTTAAAGACGTTTCTTTTTTTTTCCTGCAAAGGATGCATGTGTATGTGTATGTAAATATGTATATGATTACTTACTCGTATTCCGTTTATTTATAGAATAGTCCCGTAGGTTACTTTTAGATATACATCAACATGTTTCTGGCATTTTTCACACATATGCTCAATATAATTGATTAATTATTTTCATTCATATTTATGATCAATATACACGTATATATTTCCTTTTATATCTATATATATACAAAATATATTTATAGCCGGCAATACAAATTAAAATCCAACTTTCAGTCTACACCTGCATAGTGTGTAGGAATAATCCACATAATTTTTGATATAATTTCCTCTTTCGTTGTATTGTTGCTATGCACATATAATGAAAAATGTCTGCGATGAATCACTGTTAAATTACAATTATCTCATTACTATTTGTTATTCTTTAAGTAATTCTGTTTTTTTCACTTTAGAAATATGTATATCCACAGTATTTTAATAATTACACATACATATGTACATACAAACAATGAGTTGAAAATATCGAGTTATCGCTTATCAGTATTTTACTAGAGATGAGATTTCTTTTCTCACTTTGTGTGTTAATTTTGTTTAACTTCGATACGATTTCCATCTGTGCTTCAATTCTTTTGCGTGCTGGAAGAAAACAGCAAAACTATCGATATATTCTTACCTCTTAACGCAACTTCAAGAAAAATCTATTGCCTCG